CAGCCCAGTGCAAGCGGACCAGCACTCAGCTTCTTCCGTTCTGGATTCTAGATTCTAGCAGTTCATAGATGAGCTGATTAGCCACCTCTGTGTGAAAGCTACATGTAGACATATTCCCCGCAGCGCTGGATGTCTGGAACGGCGGCGGCCTAGGGGCAACAATCCAAAACTGCCTGGAGTAAGGCATCGTGTCTCAAACGCACTCAGCGGCTGTCTGGGACGCCAGGGAATGTGATGTATGGTTTAACCCAGCATCTGCCCGACATGCCCATGAGCTTGGCCACGCCGCCATGCTCTTGACATGACCGTTAGTTGATACGGGAAGAGGCTTAACATCTCAGGTTAACAGAGGCATCCATAATGTAAGGACCCCCAATCTTGAAGTGCTCATTAAGGCCTCATCGCAGCCGTCCAAGCATCGACGGCTGCGGCAGCTTGCGAGGCGCACTGGCTCACTCTACTCTACTGTGACCATCATACCAAACTCTTGTGTAGTATGCTGTACTGTACTGTATATGGAGTCAGAGCTTCTGCCGAACATGTCATGCCGCACGGCATGTTGGGATAAAGGTGCTGTACGAGCTGCGTGACTACTTTGGAGCTGGCATGAACGCGGAGAAGGTGTGCGTGCCGCTTCCAGACTGGCATGGTTGTACAACCAGTGCAAATCCAGAAGCATATCTCGGAACTTGTGCTGCAGCTCCCTGCCATCTCCCAAACACCGCCCGCATTATTCAACGTACCCTGAAAGAATAGGGCCCGGCAGGAAGATGCCGGCAGCGAGGTGCTTGCGGCAGTTGAGCTCCTTGAGGCCGGTCCATATTCCCGAGAGGCCACACAAAGATGCTTTCTCATTCCTGCCTTGGTCGCTTGCTGCATCCAGGACCGCGACTATTTAGATGCCCGCAGCGCAGGCGGCTCATCCATCACCGCTCTGGTTCTACGATGTGCCTTCATTGAGCTAAACTACAAGGGAACATCATGGGACTCGGCCGTTGGAAATACACATTCCCCGATGAAAAGCCACCATCGCTGGCTTTGAACTTTCGCGATTGCGCAGTCTGACTTCTCCTTATCTTGCTGTGCCAGTTGAAGTGTTGGAGTCTCGGGGTTTGGCGCGGCATCTGTAGTTGGCCTCGTGTTTCAACATGGCTTTGCTGCTTGGTGTGGCAGGTTGCTGGCTGCGCACCAGCTACAGACTGGTGGCCGGCCGCCCCGGCATAGTCGTATCCTTTGTGCGTTCTGCTTCTGCTGCTCCTGCTCCAACTCCACCTACTCCTGCTCCTGCTCCTGCTCCTCCTACTCTACTCCTACTTCTTCTACTACTACTGGTACTAGTCCTAATCCTATTACTAATACTTATATTCATACTCTTACCAGTGCCAATACTGAAACTAATACTAATACTTCACATACTTCACGACGGCGACTACTACTACTACTACTACTACTACTACTACTACTACTACTACTACTACTACTACTACTACTACTACTACTACTCCTACTCCTACTCCTACTCCTACTGCTACTGCTACTGCTACTGCTACTGCTACTGCTACTGCTACTGCTACTGCTGCTGCTGCTGCTGCTACTGCTACTGCTGCTGCTCCTGCTGCTGCTGCTGCTGCTGCTGCTACTGCTACTGCTACTGCTACGGCTACTACTATTGCTACTGCTACTCGTCCGTTTCCTCGTCCTACAACCTACTCCTGCTGCTGCAACTGCTGCTAGTCCCAGTCGTCGTCGTCCTCCTCCTCCTCCAGCTCCGTCTCCTCCTCGTGCTGCTCGTCCTGCTGCTACTACCGTGCCTTTGCTGGTGCTCTTACTACCACCGACAGCTGACACTGTAACCCTCTACGAAAAATTCACAGCTGCTCGATGTATCGCCATACTTGTGACAAGAATTTCACTATTGATATTCACGACTGCTTCCTCGTCCTCTTACTCTTCCATTGCTGCGCCGTATGTTGCAGCAAACAGGTAACCTGTGTCACCGAAAGTATAAGCAATTATTGGTCCTTTGGGAAAGGGGCGTAAATGTCGTATACCGGAAAGAAAGGGCGTAATTAGCGTTATTGCGCCAAGGGGCATCACAATGCATAAAATCCAAGCCATAAAGAGCGTAGGTTCTCAGAACACCAGCACCAAAAGGGACATAAAAAAGCATAGAAAAAGCGTCGAATAAGCATAGAAAGACAAAAAAAAGCGTAAGAAGGGGCGTAAAGTCACCATTGCCGAACAAAGGGGCGTAAAAGCAAGCGAAAACCGTGGGTGCGTAAATCATGCCAAATGGGTTGTTACCCAGGGAGATGATGAAACACTAAAAACCCAAAGGTGCGTAAATTCACCAATGCCGAACAAAGGGGCGCAAAAAAGCAAGCGAAAACCGTAGGGGCGTAAATCTGGCCACCGGTGGTGATCCAGGAAGGGATATCCAGAGCGACACAGAGTTAGTCTCTCCGTATTTATGCTAATATTTGTTTGATGAAGCACAGTTGCAAGCGGTGAAGAAACTGGGTCCTGGGTTTGTTTTCTTGCTACACGTATGGTTCTTCTTCCTCCGTTGCCCTATTCCAGCTACTTTCCGCAATTACACTTTGAACAGTTCGAGCAACAACAGAAAGGCTGAGCTGCCGCCTATACCCCACTACAAGGCCCTTTTCAAACCCAGGCTCGGCAGCTTCGACAGCTTCTCCAAACTAGACGAGGCATGAAGGAAACCAATTCTGGTTGTGCGACTGGCTTGGCTTGGGCTCTTCTTGTGCTTGAGCTGATTACGGAACTTAACTTGTGAAGATGGTTCTGCGCGCCGGGCTTGGAGCTACAGTAGCGATCAACGTCGCTGCAATCTGGCAGTTGTGCTTCGTCAATACAAACGCACATTTTCTGTTGTAGATATGCCATGCACATTCGCATACGGTCCGAAATTTGTTCTGGCTGAGATCAGTAATCGTAAACGGAGTGCGTCGTCCGCCTCGGCCTCGCCGACGGATTGCTCGGCTCTTGTTTCTTCAACCCCAAACCCGTCACTTGAAAGAGTCCGTGAATGGCACATTGGTACCCCCTTAGTTTGATGCAGTACTGTCACCCTAAGGAGCCCCAGCTTGAGTGGTAAGGCTCCTATGTGATTTGCTGCCGGCAGGCCGGAGCACAGCGCCTTCACATCGTTTGCGGAACTCCGTGTTGGAGCTGCCCACAGAATTCTTGCTTCAGGGTTAAGGGGTTGAAGTTTGTGGGTGAAGAATCTAAAGCGACGGGTTGAAGCATCAGTAAGGGCTTTTTGGGCTGCAGCCTTCCGTGGCAGTACTAGGACTTGTGGTGCAAACACGATGCAGCGCAAACAGCGCGAATAATGATAGTTGTTGGCAGGTGTTTTGTTAAGTAGCATCACGTGCAGCAGTGCCGGCGGATCCCGAAGGGTTCGGTACGGTTCGGTATAAACAAAAGTCAAATTGGTCGACTGATTCACATCAAAACAATGCACACGGATGCATGGAAACAGACAGACGCATACATGTATAACTAACAAGGAAGGAAAATATACATTAACAACTTAGTACGGACGGCAGGTGCATATGCACATGTCTAATTGTGCACGTATTTGCATACTTGTGTATGTATGCATGTATATATGCATACATATATATATATATATATATATATGTTCATACATACACGCATACAAAGAGTATGTATAGATTGAACTACATCTGTATGTGTGTATATATACACACATGTTACATACATACATACATACATACATACATACATACATACATACATACATGTGTGTATATATATATATAGTTATGTATTATGTATACACACAGCTGTGTCGTATAGAACGCAGGAGCAACAGCACTCCCTGGGACGTAGTGGGTCCGAGCGGATATTGCTGGAGGCCGCCGATAGCCGAAGCATCTTGCAGCCGAGGGTGTAGGAAGCTGCGGCGACACTGCCAGCTGAACTGCACCGGGGCGTGGGAGAGACGGAAGAGACTGTTCTGGCCAGAGCATAAGAGTCACCGGATATCACTGGCTTTCTCTCACTCATAGACACGAAGAACTCATGCGAGTGCCCGTCGCTGCTTGAATCAACCGCCAGTTGGGCTTGAGTTCTGCGCCGCTGTGGGCGGCGTTCTCAGATGCTGGTGATTGCGAGTGCATGCGTTGCTTCTTGTGTCCGCACTGCGCCTTGTTGAGCAGTATGCACATCCCCTCGACGGCCGTGCTGTACAGTGGCAGGCAGGAGCTGCTTTGCATTTCATACGACGAGCTCTTGACGGAACTGCTGAGTCGCTGAAGGCCAAGCGTTGAGACTTCCACCTGCCACCTCTAGCAGTAGCATCTTTGGCAGTTTCCTGCAAGACAGACTGCTGCCAGTCACAATCATCCCTGCAAGAAGCCTCAAAGCATTTGCAGCCTGTGAGGCCACAAGCCAAGCTGCTTGGCTCGCTTCTTCCGGGCAGGCTGTGGTATGCATGGCATCACGAGAACTGCGATGCTGGCACATCAGTCTCCGCTGACATGTTTCGAAGGATTCGTTTCAGCTGAAGACTCAAGAGAGCTTTCCAGATACTCTGGAGATCTAGACAGGAATAGACAGGTTTATCGGTCCGTCAAGGTCAACAGTTGATCCTCACCAAGACCAAATTGCAAGTGTTTCCTGGTGACCTCATTCTCTGGTAAGACAGATGACTTGCACGGACGCATTCCCTCTGCCAGCAGCCGCCTTGACCTACCTACCAAAAGGCCTCATACGGACCTGACACCTGCCTTACATCATCTTCGAGGTATGCGACACGGACCTTGTGCCACGTTGGCAGAAAGACAGCAACAAGACTGACAAAGAGAGCATGCAGCGACAGCCAACTTATCTTGTACACCGTACACCCTAGTATTTCCTGGAATCGGTCTCGAAAAGCTGTAGGCGTTTTTTCAGCATTCACGAACAGCCCTCATAAGAACCCTGGTGTCCCGTAAGTGGGAGCAGTTGCGATGCATTGGCAAAGATTCAATGGCCGCGCCGTCGTGCAGCAGCCTTTGTGCTTCGGCGGCACATGACACTGACCGATCGTCGACTCATGGCTTGTGCGCGCACCACATTCTTTGATTCCCGCCGATGATCTAGTATCAGCTTGTGCTGGGCCAAAGTGACATGTCGCACTGGCGGTAGCCGTGTCCGAGGCTTGTGCAGTTGCCAGTGCCGGTGTCTCACCGCCGACTCTTGATTGCAGCATAGATGCCGGGCCATGTGCAAGAATTGATGGGTTGGACTGCTCTTAAAGCCAGAGATACATGCATGCGGTTATGCACCCAGCTATACATGCATATACAGACAGTAGCAAATTCATACGTATGTGAGATCAAGCGGCCCCAGCTTTCGTCAGCTTAGTGGGCCATCTTTCTCAGAGCATCAACTTGTCCCGTCGGAACGGGCCTGCAGGCTCTTCTGTGCCTGGTTGTTGAAAGAAGGGTTCGGTGTTCTTCCCATGGCTCCGACTTGTATGCAGTGCGTACGCGCACAAATACTGGAATACACATGTCGAACAAGCAACCACGCGTGAATACAGACAGCACGCTTCTACACAAGCGTCGATGTGTGTGTGTGTATGTATATATACATTATGTATTTACCGTCATGTGCAGACATACTATTACCGCATGACCTGGTATGGTATGTGAGCTTAACCATTCTGTATTCATGAACATACATGCATGCAACGTACATGCATGCATGCGTAGGTGTGGCAATCTATGCATTCTGGCATGTATGCATGTGCGCCTGTGCTATCTGCATGTGTGTACGTGTGTTTAGGTTAGCAAAACTACTCATGCCCACATGCATTGACGGTTGCACCGTCCGCGTTTTTATGACAATAGTGCCAGATCTCGTCACATGGCTTGCAAGGAGTCGCATCCGGCCAGGCTCGGCCGCTGCTGGAACAGGGCTGCACAGTGCTGATGGTGGAGGGAATCGATGGCACGGGTAACAATCAAGATGGTACTTGTAGCCATCGTGAGGGTGGCGGTGGGGATGGACTTGATTCTGATTTTGTTGCGGATGTCTTTCGAGCTGTACACGGCTTTTGTATCTGCCCCTACTAGCTGTCTTCCATTATAGCAACCAGTTCGGCCAGCGGATACTTGCTGAGCAAGGCCACTCACCCGGCGTCGATGCTCGAAGAGTGTAATCAGTAGCCAAGCATCATGGATCTGCAAGTCGAAATCGCCCTGCCGGAGGCACTGGATCTTACAGAGATCGAAAGAGAGGCCGAGTCGGATCAGGTGCCTCGGCAGCACTTCACCGACCCTTCTCCATGGGATTGGGGTTGACGGCTTGTGGTTTGAGGTGTTCACAGTAAGGTTCATCGCCCAATTATCTTCCGAAGCATAAGTATATCGGCGATTTGCAGCTGCGAGCTTCTGATGTGGGTTTGGATGGTCCGCCCTACGCAGAAAAGGTACAGACCGGGTGAGTATGTGAGGCCCGAAGCCTCGGGCCTTGAGGGCGCCAGACCTCGAAGGTACCAGTACGCAACCATTGGAACAGGAGGGAAAGGACAGTATAGGGCTTATAGCTTATAGTACTGCGACCTCATCTCCGGGAAGGAGCACATCGACGAGCACCAGGCTGAGACTTTCGCCCGGTGGGAGGCGCAGCATCCGTAGCGTGCCCGTCAGCGTCGCTGTGAAGCCCGCAGTCTGCAGGCTCGCACAGGGCCAAAGGCGCCGAAAGGATGCGAGTCGATCAACTACGAGATGCAACTCGATGTCAAAAGTTTCGCCATGCACATCCTGGAGTAGCAGAGTGCAGTCCAGTCATATGGGGTTGCTGCACCGTGCTGTTTTCTGAGCGGTGACGCCCAACATCGCCCAACAAACGCCGAAGCATCCTACAGGTATGGCAGCGACAACTACCTTGTGACTTGCAAACATTGATATGAGTAGCGAGATATGCTTAGCGACTCCTTGATCTGATAGCTTTGACTAACTAAGCATGGCTTTCGTTGGTTCAGGCATTTGCGATAATGGTTCAAGCTTTGCACACTTAGAGTCGCTGGCATGTTCCTGCGTTCATCTTACGTGAGTCACCAAAGCTTGCTTGTCCGGTGTGCTTGCGTTGCTTGCGGATCTTAGGAGTACTTGCGCTCCAACGGCCGTCTCTCGACGCGTCGGAAAATTTTTCAGCGGGGAGGCCGCCGTTTTTGCTGTGACTCTTCGAGCTTCGCCACGGTTGTCGTTCTTGTTCCACAGGCATGGCTCCGTCGGTCATAGCGCATCATGTCCGTAGATTCCCTCAATTTCCCTCATTAAATCCTCGGGGCCTCGCAAAGAGGATGATACATCCCCAAAAAGTTCCCAACGAGGGGCCGCCCCTGTGAGGCAGCATGCGCTGGATTTTCCTCTGCTTCATCGGCGGTGGATCTGGCTTGGTGGCCGTCGTCGTAGACTATGCAATGGACCAGGCCACCCTTTTCTCGGATCTGCGTCGCCACACATCTGAAGGGAGGGCGATGACGGGTGGGGAAAGAATGCATATGTTTGCATTCGCATGGATCAGTTTGCCCATGGCCTGGTTTGCGTAATGTACACTAGTCGTAATGGACATGGTACCACTCGTGGATTTGTTGACGTCGTGGTAGCAGTAGAAGGGGTGGTCGTCGGCGGCGGAGGATGGCGGAGGTCTTTCTCTTCCGACAATAGCTTGTTTGCTGTCCCTACGACTGCTGCCTGCTTCTCATACTGCTACCATTGCAATGACCACTCACTGCCGCTGGGACAACAGCCAGCAACAACAGCAACAACATCTACTACTACTACTACTACTACTACTACTGCTACTACTATCACTACTACTACTACTGCTACTACTACTACTACTACTACTACTACTACTTTTACTACTTTTACTACTACTACTACTACTACTACTACTACTACTACTACTACTACTACTACTACTGCTGCTGCTGCTACTACTACTACTACTACTACTACTACTCCTGCTACTGCTACTACTACTACTACTACTACTACTACTACTACTACTACTACTACCCTACTACTACTACTACTACTACTGCTGCTTCTTCTACTACTCCTACTACTGCTCCTAACACCACTGCTGCTGCTGCTCCTGCTACTGCCGATGCTACTGCCACTGCCTACTGCCTACTGCCACTGCCACTACCACTGCCACTGCGACTGCTGCTGGTGCTTTTACTACTGCTACTATTACTACTGCTGCTGCGCTGCTGCTGCTGCTGCTGCTGCAACTGCGCAGCCATTCGTTCGAAGGCAACCCTAAGTCCAGGTGGCTAAAATTCAAGTCCACCACTGCCGACGTGAATTTGTTGCTGCTTGCCCGAGTTGTACGGTATGACGAAGGTCTTCGATCTGAAGATGTCTGCCAACAACTGGGCATACGAGCACAGCTTTTCCGCTTCTCGGCGATGGAAGTCCTTATCATGACACTATGTACGTACGAACGAAGAGATTTACGTTTGGTACATGCATATGGCACGTATGTGTGCATGCATGGGTGGATGCACCTCGGTGTTCTAGGCATGTGTTCTATATTCTATGTATGTATCCTATGCATGTAGTCTGCGCAGGTGTTCTATGTACGTAGTCTATGTACGTATGCGTGTATGTATGAACGAAGGAATGTTTGCGCGCTCGCGCGTGTGCGAGTGCGTGTGCGTGCGTGCGTGCGTCCGTGCGTGGGTGTGGGTGTGGGTGTGGGTGTGGGTGTGTGTGTGTGTGTGTATGCGTGTGCGCATATATCTCTCAGGGAGTGTTGTTGTCTGTATGTGGTCATGTGTGAGCGTGCATATACACAAACGTGTATAACAAAAAGGATGTATGTATGTATGTATGTTTGTATGTGTGTGTATGCATGTAGTTATGTATGTATGCATGCACGTGTGTATTTGCAGGCAGTACAACAGCAAGACAATAATATCGTGGAACAGATCTGCATGTGCTTTCGTGTTCCTACTGTTTTCGTGCCTGTCGTGCGACTTTCAACAGGAGTGGCTTCCGACAGATAGTGCGCGTGCGTTAAAAGGATCATATCCTTTGCCATTGCAAACAAGACCAGCTGCAACTGTTTCAGCTGATTGAGAAGCGAAGAAGTGCGCAAGTCAGTATGACGACTCTGATTCGCTTGCGCATGAACCGCGGTCGCTTGTTGATGTTTTGATGCTAACTGCACTGCACCGCAAGATGTAAGTGTGACTGCATCGTAAGAACCGAAATCGGAAACCTCCGGCTTAAAGTCTGTGCTTCTGAATGCAAGCAGCTGAGATTTGGCAGCAGAGCCCTGGATGAAGCGGAGTTTCTGAGGATTGCGTGAGAGGTTGGTTCGAGGCGACATGCTGTCATGTTTCTTTTCGTTTGTTCGAACAGTGCTTGGCTTAAGGTACTTGGCCTGGGTGTCAGTCGCTGTCGCCCTGGTCAGCATCCTGCCTGGGCAAGTGAGTGACTTTGAGAAGAGTGCATGTTGGCGTTCTCTGCATCTCCAGCGAAGCCTGCGCAGGGTTCACACATGACATGGACGAGCTGGCAGAAGCTCATGCTCCCATCAGTCACGCAAGCACTTGCAGTTCGTATTTTCTCAAAGGTATAGCTGGCATTCTGGTTTGCTACATCGATCCCTTTGCTGCGGGCTCTGGGATTCCAGAGATAAAGTGTTATCTCAACGGCATCGAGCACTTTCCGAGTGCCCTCCGGCAAGACTTCGGAATATAGTCAGGCGGTTCGCGCCATCAGTTTTTTAGTTCGTGAGTATGGATGAAGAGAATCTGGTTTTACTGTGGTGTGCTTGCCCACACATGTGTGTGCATGTGTGTTTTTTTTTTTTTTGTGTGTGTGTGTGGTTTGTGATGCAGGAATCCGACAACCTTACGAGTGCTTACAAGCAAGGCTTGACGGAACGGCTGCCCTGATCGAAATCAGTTTGGCCCAGAATTGACATGACGCGGATCAGCAAGGGCAGGAGGATGCTGACGAGGACGATGATCATGACGAAAACGAACATGCTGATGATGAGCGTTAGTGTATCAACGCCCCGCACCTTCTGCTCATGATCTCGCGTCATCAACAACAGAAGCCTCACTAGTACCACTGGTACTTCTGGTACTATCGGACGATGACGACGGCTACCGCTACTATTGCTACCGCTGCAGCCCCGGCTACTCCCACCTCTAATCCAGCAAATATAACAACAACTACAACCTCCTCCTCCTCCTCCTACTACTATATACTACTACTACTACGACGACGACGACTACTACTACACCTACTACTACGACGACTACGATTACCACTACGACAGCTATGGCAAGTCTACTAGAACTACGACATGCTACGACTCTCTATCTTGTCTTCTGCCAGCACGACTTCGGGATAGATTTCTATATTTTTTTGGAGTTGTTGGTATGGCCACTGCTGTTCTTACGAGCAGGAGCTGTTTGTGAGTCGGTCAGGTGGTGGGTTTGAAGACACTGTTGGCCAAAGCCGTCGGCATCGTCTTCAGCGTCTCTGCAGGTCTTCCCTGTGGTAAGGCCAGCAGAGTCGTGTTCTCTTCGCTAGCTGGATGAGTCTAGAGTGTTGGTCTCGGGCGTTCTTGTGTCTGCACGTGCTGCAACTATCGTGATGGATGGATATTGATGTGGAAGACAAAGTTTGATCAGTCCCCTGCCAGGAAGGGCCCATGATCCACAGTGGTGCCATTATCGGTGCGGTCGCTGTCTTAGACCTGCTTTGACCTGTCGTCGTCATGGTGGTGATCGTCAAGTCGACATCTTCGCTGTCGTGGGCTTGCAGCAACAGTAGCAGTGGTGGCACGACTCTTGAGACAGCACTGATGTTACCCCCTAGCACTGAACATGTGCACACTTGCTTGTTGCACCGAGGGTCCCGGCAAACAACGCTTAATTCATTCGTTGTTGCTGCAGTGAAGATTGAGGTCGTAGCCGGTTTCCGAATAGACCGCAACATCAAGCCGTACGTCTACACCCAGGACACGGCCTGTTCGATGTTGCAAGAGTGTTTTCTGTGACATTTCGTACGCCGTCTTACGCCATCTTGCAAGCCTGACTCAGCATGCAAATCCCGAAGGCGGTTGTGTCGGAATTGTCGAAAACGCACACTCCGTTCTCGGTTGACACCGTGTCCTGAGAGAACCGGAGAGGGAGGAAGAGTGCAGCACGCCAGAAAGGTGTCGGAACCTCAAGAAAATGCGAAGGGACACTTTGGCGTGGTTTCGCGCTGTCGGTCACCATCTCTCTCTCTCTCTCTCTCTCCCTCTCTCTCCCTCCCTTCCCTCCCTCTGAGTCGCCCCTTTCACGGCTTCGTTTCTGTGCCCTTCCAGGAGGTTCGCGACCTGGTGGCTGCTGGCGCCTCCGCCGGGGTCTCCGCGGCTTTCGGCGCTCCACTGGGCACCACGCGCTGCAGAACAGAAGGTTCACGGTATGATGGAGACCTGGTAATGGTATAGAACGGTAGCTTTGGTCTTTCACTTCAGCATCTCGTTTGAGAGTACAACGACATGTGAGCGACATTGAAAGCCAACTCCACTTGCTGCAGCGGCGTCCCGAGGCTCGGTTCTTTTCGCTATTGAAGAGGGCTCCAGCCATATGATCCTTGACGGGATTTTGGAGCTGCGTTGTTGTCAGAGGCGCTTGCTGCCTTGTGCCTAATGACGTTTGTACTCCAGGAATCCTCAGATCATGCTGCTCAGCTGCATTGGGCTGGATGTCGGGGCTCAGCCACTATTTGGGGAATTCGCCAAACAGAAAATAGTGTCTGTCGTACTCACAGCAGAGCAGTGGCCTATCCTTTGATCGCCCAATTACAGAACAGGCATGGTGCACACTTCCGACAGGTGTCAGGTTTGTGTTGAAAGTGGCAAGTATTCTTGCCGATAAAGGGCTATCTCGTTCACATCGTAGCATGCGAACCAGGCATAGCCAGTTTGCGGATCCATTCCCTTGGCTTCAACAATGCTTTACAAAACCGCCTTGGGACTGTCGTGCATTTGGTGCTGTATACATGCATGATAGTGGACATGCTGAGCAATGCATATGTTACTCAGTATGTATGATTTTATGCATGGATAAAGGTGTGACTTGCGCATGGACATGTATGAATGAATGAATGTATGTACGTATGTTCGCATGCATCTACGAATGCAGGCATGTATGCATGTACACTGTACACACAAGCAGGTATTCCGCCTCTCTTTTACGCCCATGTCGTCCAGGACGCGGCTTTTTGTGGCCTGCGCTGTAGCGGCCCTCGTGTCAAGGATTCCTCAGAGCGAGAATCCGCCAGAAGCCTTTCAATCAAAGTTCCCACAAAAGCCACATCCCTTGCCATAAGACCCTAAGCCGTGCAGGCAGTGAGTGGAAGTTGTGGCATGGAGACCCTAGACGACAAGTCCAGCTTTCAAGTTGAGTGCAGGGTTCTAGGATGGGAACTTGGGGTCGTAGAGGATGCCCGAATGTCGGGTCCCGGATTTACGGAAGTTCTGTCAGGAGTTAGGGAACTTCAAGGTTCCTTGACACGGAGAGGATTTTTGAGTTCTACGTATCCCGATGGGCACCCCAAAGCCTCAGGCCAGATTGCATCCTACAGGCCCATGAGGAACCATGCTCCGGCCTTCTTTGACAGGAGCTTCTCCGGTTGGTATCATGGGCTTCCACTTGGCTTACTAGGCCCGGACCGAACCACTTCGTCTTCAGGTTTGGCAGCCATGGATACCATCCTTCGAGTGTCCGGTGTGGTAGTTGCTTGCTGTACGTGTGCATCTGGTTTGTTATTCGTGGTCTTTGTGCGGCTGTCGTTGTTCTTTGCCCTCTTTCGTTATACTTCTGACGTGAGTGATACACAGTGGGTGCGCACCTGGGACGACGTTTCGGGTCTTAAGTCTAGTTGAGCTTCAACGACTTTCGCTTCGCAACTTCACGGTTTTGAGTTTGGTTGTTTGGCCGAAGTGCAGGAGATGGAGTTCTTTCATGACCATGTCGGGCCATTAAGCAGCCACGAACTGACAAGACCCGATGGCCCAAATCGAGGAACATAGGGCAAGCATCTTGAGTCGGATCGACAGTTACACGCGGATAAGGTGATAGCATGATGCTACAGACCAGGTCACGGAAACATAATTCTGACATGTGGCCATGGCAAGATACGGCAAGCAGTAGCAAGCTTTCCCAGCGCTGCTGTAATCTATGTGAATCTATGTTATGTTAACCAAAGAATATCACATGATGCACCGCAACGAGAGGTTGGCGTGTTCCGGTCAGCTTCGGCCGCTTCTCGAACATGGACTACCACATACAGGAGCCTGGCTAAGAGCATTCGTCCCGAAAGTCCCGTGGCCAGGCGAATCAAAGTTAGCGCAATCCTAGACCCAATACTTTCAATACCATACAGGCCAGGGCCAGAATCAGAAGCAAGTACCCATACCCCATCAGACCACATACTCGCAAGTTAGCAGGGTTCAGGCATCTTGTTCCAGGGAAGCCTCTCCGGATGCCCGGGGCTTCTTTCCTCGGGCGAAGCCGCGCCTGTCTCAGTAATATAACAGACCATAATATACTGAAATATATAACTATATACTATAGTATACCATAATGCAATATAATCTACTATAGCTAACTATAACATCATATAGACGCAGCCAGGAGTTCGCACTCTTTGGGCTGATGGCCATCTGCGGAGGACTACTCGGTGGCCTCTTCAACTGCATGAACAAGTAGCTTCGGCTTATGATGGCACGGTTCTTAAGGGCGCTGGCGCTGTTAATTATCTTCGGCTCTCTGCCCTCCTTTCTATCTCGTTGTATTGTTGTTTCGAAGGTGCTATGTATCTCGGGGTAGATGAGCGGTCTTTGCCGCTGCCCCTTGGTAGGTCCATCGCCTGTGTATAGACAATTTTTCCGGCTTTTTGGGGATCTTTGGTAGCTCCTACCTGCCTTCTCCCGAAGCCCTGAACGCTATGAGGCGGTTGACCTTGTGGCGCCAAAGACATATTGGAGGGCGCGGTCACAAGCGATTCCTGGAAGCTGCTTGGAGTCTATCCGTTGTTCGATGTTGTTTGAGAAGACGGGGGATGTTCGGAATTAAGGCTGGCTGTGTGGAGCATAGCTCAGCTGATTCATTTGGCTCTGGTTATATTCGTACAAGCCTTGAAAGTCGTAGGTGGCAGTTGCAGAAACAGCTGTAGCGTCCGTCGCTTTGATAAGGCAGTTAGGGTGGCAATGGTAGTGGTAATGCTTGCGTACTGTGAGTGGACGAAATCTTGCACTGCCTTTGAATATTCCAATCCCCGTATTCGCTTTTCAACATTGCTTCCCGGAAGACTCCGACGCCGACTTGTTCAAATGACCAAACTGTTGCACTGCCTGGCAAGCAGCAGGTGCCAAGATGTACTAATGATAAAAATCAGTGCGGGCGCATGTAGTTAAAGATTTGAAGATAGTACCATCCGTGTAACACATGACATCCAGGCCTAGGCCCAGGCCCTGTGTGTCTGACTCCACGGACCTCTCCCAGGTTTTGCTTGTCACCTTCGTCGTGTCGTCTTTCGACTTCCTGGTGCTCCAGCTCGCAATGAGCCCGGTGTTGCTGCCAGGATGCGTAGCTGTGTCGTGGTAGTGGTCCAAGTAGCAGATTCGGCCTTATCAAATTCGAGCCTGCCGGATTGAGTGCCAGGTAGTGGCACTGTGTTCCGACAGTCCGCTCACGTGCTTCGGCTGCAACTGCTAGCGACACCCGTGAGAAAGGCCACAGTCAGACCCATTCGAGTCGACCGTCTGCCGCTGGTGGAATAGACGGAGCTGTGCCCTGCAATCGAAAGCTACCCAAGACTTTAGCATCTCGCTTGCGGCTTGCGATCGGTTGGCTTCCTTTGAGGTTGGAGGACCTTCCTCCCACGATGGAGCTCTACTGGAACCTTGGTGGCAAGGCGATGAAGAACCTCTTCCACGGACAGGCGGGAGGCTTTGGTGATCTAAAGCTGCCTATCACGAATCCCCCATGCAGAACTAATATTATTCACGCGTGCACACAGTCTGCTGAACTTAAAAGTCGTTCTGTGATAATGACATCTGACGGACTTGGTCATGGCAAACCAAGTTATGCAACATAATGTCCGTGAGCACGGTCGATGCCTCCTGTCGCGATCCTTCGGAGCAGGAAAACTATCACTGGGGCTTCTTGCTGCTGTTCGCTGTCAAGAACTTCTTCTTCGCTTGCGACTTGGCTGGCGAGCGACGCTCTCATGCTTGGTGCGGCTTAATTACCGTGAAAATACTCCCCGTTCCGCTAACGTCTCAAGCCCGAAGCAGTTGACACGTAAGGGGATGGTAACAGCTTGGAGTACCTTTCTGTGAGAGTCTTTGCAGTAAGGATCCCTCACTTTACCGGCTCTCCCTCCCAGGTTGGAACTATGGAACGGGGGTCCCCAGTGGCCTTTTCGTTCCTTCTCTGCTTACTGGCGCCGCCTTCGGGCGACTGGTGGGGCAGCATCCTGCACGCACTAGACAAACCTCATTTTCCTCACGAAATCGAGGTCCTTTATATCCCAAAACCAGACTCTGCTCATGAAGGCCCCTCCTATATCATTGTGCTTAGCAAATTCTGGATTGATTGCCGTGCTCGAAGCCAAAATCATCGAAAGCAATGTTAACAGAATTCTTCTGAGGTTAGTAGCGGTGCTCAGAGATCTTGACACAGACGGCAACTCCCCGTTCTCGCAACGCAGCTGCAATTGGTGAAATATCTACGGTCGATCTGCAGTTCAAGCGGTGCCAGGCGTTCATTTCGCCCGGCTGTAAATGTGCACAGGTTTCCGCGTTGCATGTCGCACGTGGTCTGGACATCGTATGATTGTGACAACCCCCTGAAGCCCAAACTGATGCGAACCTTCGTAACAGATAACATCTAAAGAATCTAAAGTCCTGAATCGCTATTTGAGAGGAGCCCCCTGGCCTCAGCTCTATCTGGTCCGACACAAGCCGGTAGGAATGAGCCCGTACAAAAAAAGCACGCACACCCGAACCGTCCGAAGTGTTGGACTTGAAAGTCTCATGCAGGAGTGTCCTGCGTTTCAGGCCTTGGCACTTCCCTTGCTGTTGCTTGCTCAGTAGTTGCCATCAGTAGCAACAGCGCTGTTGGTGTTGCGGCATTATGTAATCATATGGAATCATATGGCTTCAGCTCAGGTTCGTCGCCCAACCTGGTACCTACGCTCTCATCGGAGCTTGCTCCATGCTTGCGGGCACGGCGCGCATTACGATCTCCTTGGCACCTTGGTGCTGGCTGTTGGTCTTTTGCAGATTCCTTAGCTTTGTTAAGGCTTCAAAGTTTACTGGCACAAAGAACCTTTGATACAACGCTGCAATGAGGTTTCACGCGCCCGAAAGGATGACTCCAAAAACTTTCCCTGAGTTTTGTCTTTCCTCGCCGGGCGTGACAAGACCATGGAAGCTCGCAAGGCAATGATCCTCATGGAGACCAGTGGAGAAGCTGAGTTTGGACTTCCAATCTTCCTTTCGGTTATGGCTGCTCGGCTTGCCCGCGACCATCCACCACCACCCAGAAACCACTAACGACCACGACGACAAAGCCGATGTTGACCGCAACAACAACAACCACGAAAGCAACAGCCACGACAACCACACCCACACCACCACCGCCACCACCACCACCACCACCACCACCACCACCACCACCACCACCACCACCACCACCACCACCACCACCACCACCACCACGGCTACTACTACTACTACTACTACTACTACTACTACTGCTACTACTACTACTACTACTACTACTACTACTACTACTACTTCTACTACTACTGCTACTACTACTACTACTACAACTACTACTACTACTACTACTACTCCTCCTCCTCCTGCTGCTGCTGCTGCTGCTACTACTACTACTACTACGACTACGACTACTACTACTACTACTACTACTACTACTACTACTACTACTACTACTACTACTACTACTACTACTACTACTACGACACCGACTACTACCTCTTGCAGTACTGCCGCCGCTGTTGCTTCTGAGGTTCCTCCTTCTAGGGTCAATCATGCTCGTTTGCTTCACTTTGGGGCACGTGTAGCCTCACGGCGACCACATCCAGAGCTACTCGTATGCATGCCTTGCCAGTGCCAGTGATAATGCCCACTTCGATGGCATCCGTAGGAAACTGGCATTAATTGCTGGCCAGTGATAACGTGCACTTCGACCAATTCCTTGGGACACTCGCCGCCATGCCTGGCCAGTGAGAATATCCGCTCGAAACGGGGCTGTTCCCCCCGCTGCCTGACCTGCAGTGAGGTTGCGAAGTGGGTTGGCGATCGCTTCAACAGGCGAAGTGCATACGCTGTTTTTCAGATAGCCGGGAGCGGCATGAGCGCAGGTCTGACGATGATAAGGATGCTCACGAACAAGGATCCTCAAGCTGAGCCTCAAAGCCCTGGACCCTACAGCGGAAAATCGGCCAGGGGCATCTACGACTTGCATATCATCGAGCTCAAGCACATTCCATTTCTGGAGCAGAACCCGGAGAAGGAGATGATTCCCTTGCAGGCATGCTCAGCTTGGGCTTCGACAACCCGTTTTCGAAGCCTGAAGTTGCCTCCACGTCTCGGCACGGTGAAGACATAACATGTAATATCGTATACATACCGAGGCGAGTGATCACAACAATCCCCAATGTGATAGTGATCAGAGCAGTATCGATTCAGTCCTGATCATGGTGACACGAGGCTCCAAGCGCTTCGGGATTTTGCGGTTGCTGCTTTCGGCAATTCAGAACGGCCTTTTGTTCAACTCAAAGCACAGGATGGTAGTACCGCGGGTGCAGCTTCTGCAGACGCTTCCTAGTCTGCCGTTTGATGGTCTCGGTGAGGGCGAGCATTCTGGCCAGAGCATACCGTTCCACGAAGAGTGCCGTGGGTGATGTCTTCATCTATCGAGTCGAACGGGCGGAGTTCGTCAGGGATGAGCCGATGAGCCCTGCTGCTACCCTCCATATGCAGGCTGCGCCTTGCTTTTCAGAACCCCCAAGGAGCAAAGACACTCGCTGAGGGAGCTAGAGTTTGTCTAGCTGCTGTGAGCATCTGCAGTGAACAGACAGAGCCCGCTTGTCGCGATAAAGGCGGCAGACCTCAGGCTTCGCAGGCCTTGGACCCCTTCCACTCCGAACTCGCAGGCCCGTGACGTCATGCAGCGGAATGTGGTGACCCTGGAGCTCGTTGAATCTGTCTCCAACCTGGTCGAGGCTAGCAGACGACGGCAACAGGGGCAGACGCAACAGAATAATGAAGAGCAGATGCGGCAGCGACACCGCAATGTAGGCATGTGTTTCGTGTTGCTTCTCGTTCTGCCATGCTCTTTGCAAATTCTCCTATACTGCCTTTGCGACTTCAAGGCTTCTGTGTCAATCTCCGCCTTTTGTGGGCTCGGGCCGGGGTGGTCAGACTTGAAGCGGGAGCTGTGGATAACCGCGGACGGACTTCTCTTTGCTGGAGCCAGAGCCGAAATTGAGAGTTTCCGAAAATTGTAATTAGGGGTATCTTATTTGGTGGTCCTTATAATCAGGATCTTACAGTTTAGGGTACTGCATTACGGTCCCCTATTTTCGGAAACTCCCAGATTGTAATTCATAGCAGGAGTAAGACTAAGATCCTCGCGGGAATGGCTATGGTAGTCGCAATCAGTATCAACGGGTATCACTGTTGTCACGTCTGGTTCCGTTCCTTCACTTTGCTTGCGGGAATCTCTGTTCGATAGCATAGGTTTGATTGCCTATTGGGCAGGCCTTTGCAGACACTTTTAGAGTTGCTCTGCAGCCGCAGGTGCTTGCCGGCGAGAATCACCACAGCTTTCCGGCGCTTTGGTGTTGCAGCCTCCAGAAAACGTTTACTGCTGGTGTGCAGATGCCCTACCCCAAATCGGGTCAGCTCCCGCCTCCAGATTTACTCTTTCCACACTTAAGGCTACTGTCCGCATTCTTGCTGGTACTCCTCTGTCTGACGGAATCGCAAAAGCCCACGCATCGTGACCACTCTTCCGTCTAAGGTGCTCTACCCCGGCACGAAGCGCGTGGCGGGTATGCTGTCCCAGTCAGTCCTGCGAAGGTGGGCTGGCTTGGTTTGCAGAATCCTGCCATATTAATATGGATGAAAGCTACGTCAAGTTGAGTAAGACGTGCGATGCTGTCGCTCAGTTGGGCAAGGTATCTGCCAGACATAAGCATGGATGTTTAGGGGGTTTAGAGAGTTTCAAAGTGCATCAACTGGCACATACGTCGGCCCCCGGTACGAACCATTCCTAATAACCCGACACCGCTTATTTCATCCGTGCCTCTACGCGTACGAAGAGCATCGTCTTTTTGGGCTTGCGGCACAAGTACTAAACTGAACCCGTGGCCTTTGCATCCACTACGTACGGATGCTGTACATAGGCCTCTGTGGACCCTTCGAGCAGCACTTGCCGTGCTACTGTCTTGGAGCAAAGTGCTCAAGAACCCGAAATGCCGACTGCTGTGTTTAAGATGCCGGAGGCGTTTTGAATCTGGAGCCGCGTAAGTCGTAGGGGTAGAGTCTTGGGCCCTGAATGTTCATGTGGCTTAGTTGCTGTGTTGATTCCGTTTCATCACAAGAGAGGACGAGAAACACTGCGCAATTCAAGATGCAGTCTGTGAGAGCAGAATTCGGAAGAAGAAGAGGACAACATCTCTGCGGGCGGCTAATTACGTACAGTACGAGTTCATTCTGCTGAGCTTCGCGTGTGTGCATGCTCGCACCTATCTGCAAAAACGATCAAAAAGGCATGTAAAGCGCATGCACGCGCTGTCTTAGATGCGGTTTCTCAGTGTCTGCCTCTGAATCTCCAGAAACTCAAGTCTCAAGTTAAGCAGGATCCTGGAACACGGAGAGGATTCGGGTCTCTTCGTGGCCCATGGCGACCCGGCACCAACCAAGCACATCTCCTGGCAGAAGATGCTTGGCAGCTCTTTGCATCGACCACCGCTGTATTACGGTTGATGATAAAACTCCTGCATTACCTTAAGGACCCTAATCTATGGGAATTATGGTATATTCCTAATTATGGGTCATGCAGAATGTCTATCATCAACCGCAGTGCTGGAACAAAACCCGATATTCTTATATGCGAAAATCGCCTGCTCTTCGTCGCTGGCAGGCAGGGAAACGTGAGCACTGTCAGGATTGCCCAGAGTTGCTCAGGATGCTGCCCTCGATGCCCTTCAGGCAAGATAGTACTTGGTGGAGTAGGCGGTGGTATATGCGGTAAGTTGGCAGACGTATGATGATGTTGATGTGCACATCTGAGTGGACTGCCTCAGGGTATATAAAAGCTGTTTCACGTTTGCACCTCGCCAGGTGCCAGACACCTGCAGAGGTGCGGGAGCTAGTGGCAGATCACGTCGAGAAATTGGTGGACCTTCGGCACCTTGGCTCGACGTGCTTTGATCCTCTTGTTACTTCGAAAAGTTTCGGCTGCAACGTGAGGCCGTATGTGAACCGAAACAGCCTCTTCGTTTTAAAGAATCTCGGCTGCATGCACAGTCCCGCGGTGTCTCTGTTTTCCCAAAGACTGCGTGTGCATGTACCAGCCTATCGTGCCTGAGCTGTCATCCTGCAGGTATACTTCGGTTTGGAACTGCTACAGGCTTTTCCGCCAGCTCGGGATGAGACATCTTGCTGCAGCCCGGCTGAGCTTGAAAGGTCACGTCAAGCGGAGTGGTCGCTGGGCGTGGTCCGAGCAGACGCTGTCTTGTCGCTGTTTGCAAGGTGCTCGGTCGAGACGGAAGTTTGGTTGGCATCATCACGCGCAAGGCCCGCAGCATACTGCGGATTGGACGAGCCTCTACAGGCAGAAAAATGCAGATAGGCGGCTGACTGTGGATGCTTGGGCAAGACAGTCATCCATCTAAGCGCCATGATGTAATATGGTTCGTGCAGGACCTCATCCTAGCAGCGGAAGCTGCTGAAGAGGTGGCGGGCAGGGTGAACCGTGCGCTTTCGGCTTCTCGATCGTTGCAGTCTCGTGCTGTTTTCCTCCATTGGTCGTACGATCATCAGGCAGCTGCATGGAGCAGCCATACGTTGATGCAGTTGCGTTGCAGGGTGAAGAGACCAGCGATGATGATGAGGACGCTGCAAGCATGAAAAGAAGGAAGTAGGTGGTATCCCTGGCTGATGGGGCACCTCTTCTCGGATACAGTAAGCCTCTCCATGCAGCCGCCCTTTTATATGCAACGTCTCGTGAACTTGACAGGACCAGTTCGACGAGGAGGCACTTGCATGTTGCCTGAAAGCTGAGGGGCGAGGTAGTGCCTGTTTGATGAACATCGGTGAACTTAAATCCGCATCTGCCCGTGGGTCCACTTAGTAACTTACTTGTAGTAGGCCGTATAGGCTGCGGCTATGCCCGGTGGATTTTCCTTCAAGCCCCTAGACAGAATCGTCAATCATATCAGGCGCGCAGCGCACAGATAGCATGCCAGCTTCGCTTGGCAGGCGAGATCGCCTGAGATCAACTTCGCTCCAAGTCCTGGAAGCGACCACGAAGAAGACGGAATCAGCTCCCGATCGCAAGAGTTGTAAAATGCTGTAAACCTTCGAGTTGCATGAATCCCGAAAAGCCACCCGAACAGCCCAAAGCCTCAAGGCTTCGCGAAGCGGAGAAGTCCTAGAAGAATTCATTTGTCGGGTCTTTCGTCTCGTTCCGTTCATGATGAGGCATTGGGTCTGTGCAAGGTTTCAGATCTCAGTGCGGTCCCGTCTGTAATAGTCAGCCTTTCTGATCTCAACCCCACTCGTCATCGCTAGATCCACCAGGTTCCCTTGTACGCATCAACACCAAATCTACGACGCGTTCGAACACCTCCGGGCTGTCGCAGCGGCAGCCTCTTGGTGGAACTGTTTCGGGCAGCAGTGCGGTTGTGAGGTCCGTCAGCTTAAGGAACTGAGAGTACGTATCAACGGTAGAATGAAGAATCATCACAGAAGAACCTAGAATAACATTCAGTTAGAAGAACAACATTAAACATCAAGTCAAGCGAAGAATCCACGAGACCTCAGCATCACCATCAAGAGAACGGCAACAGCGAAAATCTTCTAGTGATGGGTGAGAGTGTGCCATGTGTGCGTTCCGCATCATTTATGTTTGCTCTTGTCTCTACCATACCAGTAACCTATTCAGTAGGCTACTGGCTGGTGGAGACGATAAGGTCTGTAGGTGGATCAACAACCCGCTGTATAGGAAACTCGGCGCCCGGGGTAAGCCCAGTGTGCCGTTTCCGAGGTTGAGCGAACGTCAGTTGGAGTCGACGACGGGCGGCATGGGCGGTGCTGGAATGTAAGCGGTTTAAGAAGGAAGCTGCATGCACCTGTATTGTAAACGTTTGAAATCATGGCCTCTGGCAGCTCTTTCGACCGACTTGTTCTATGTGTGCCTCCAAGCATGTATACTTGGCTTCGCCAGTTAGGATCCAAAGAGCAGTCGGGTGCCGCTGAGCTTCGTTCCGTCGCTCACATGCTTTTCTCTCATCACCAGCATGTCAGACTCATTCAGCATGGGTGGCGTGGGCGAAGTTCTCATGCATTCACTTGCAGAGACATGAACGTTTGAAGATCAGCCCGTCTCACCTCTATCAGTTTGCCACTAACCATATCTTCAGCTCCAGGCAAAGAGGCGTCGGATGCTGCCGGACCTGCATGGATGCCGCAGCAAGCGAGATCAACGAGTCACAAGTGCTTGGATAAGATGATTCCCTGATGGGTGCTTTCTCCCAAAGAGGTAGGTACCCCAGGCCTGCACCCACAGCAAGCTCTCACTTCAAGGAGCAATGTAGCAGAACTTAGTTCCAAGCCATGCAATATGGAAGAAACCCAACGTCAGCCGGCACAAGATACACGGGCCACGTACAAAGTCGATGACAACCAGGAATTTAAGGAATCCGTCCCAGCCAGACTCCAGCCGCTCGTGCCATTAAAGCGTCGGGCACATGTTGTTTTGCTTCCCCCTCACCCCTTTTCTCTCTCTTTGTCTCTCCCTCTCCCTCTCTCTCTCTCTCTCTCTCTCCCTCCCTCCCTTTCTCTGTCTCTCTTTGTCTCTCTACCATTGGTTAAAGCAAACATGTTGTGCGGACTGTGTGGGCACCATAAACACGCACATGCATGAATGCTTCCGTTGAATGCTGCCTCTTGCTGCAGATTCGCCCTGCCCGTCGAGTGGTTGGACACGGCTCTTGTCGGCTTTTGTCTCAGTGCTTTCGAGTCACTGAGGCTTCAAGGTCATGCTGATTCTGGGCCTCTTCATGCAGTGCCATTCAATTTTGCGATCGAAGGAATCACGCAACCAAAGCCCTGCACACTGCACAAAGTTGCAGCCAGACTCTAGGGCGACCTACATGCGAACTAGATGCATCTTCGCAAGGCCTGCACAAGAACATCGAGATGCACTGCTACCCATCTTCGTCGAGCATGACCGCAGTGATCTCAGCTAATCCGGGACGACCACTTATATAGCTTCGTTTAGATGTTGTGGGGTTCTTGTTCTGACTCCTGGCGGCCCGACCCCTCAGCCCAGGTGCACTGCACGCTGAAAGACAGGCATCCGACGTTATTGCGGAGCTTTTCTTAAATTTCCATGAGAGTCGATGGGAAGCGTCCTTTGCGCTGTGAATTTGCATTAGTCTTTTTGTATCGCTGTGCGTGCGTTTTTTTCCATTTGCGGTTCTGTGTTGGAGGGCTGTCAGCGCTCGCTCTCTCTCTCTCTCTCTCTCTCTCTCTCTCTCTCTCTCTCTCTCTCTCTCTCTCTCTCTCTCTCTCCCTCTCTTTCTCTCTCTCCCTCTCTTTCTCTACATATATGACATACAAAACACATCGAGAATACTGCAGTATATGCACTGTAATGTTGTAGCAATTTCTGTGCGAGGGTATAGTACGGTACAATGTAACATACTATGAAATCTGATGGCATGGATTGATCTGATAGCCTGTCATCTTCTGATACAATGCAAGTATAGCTTAATCTTCACATAGTCCCAGATAGTAGTTCCATAGTATGTATATGAGTATAAAATTCGGTAACATTGTACTTGAATAGACGGTAGGATCATATCATGTTATGTGTTATCCTATCATGTCATATCAGATAACAAAGATAAAGGAGAAAACAAGATCACACAGTCTAACATATTGCAATACAGCCGACTGCAGTATTCTTTCAATCCATACAGCATGACGTAACATTGGAAAACATAATGTAACATACCGCAGTGTAGTATGGCAGAGTATCGTATGATGCATCACAAGACAGTACAGTATCTCACAGTATTATATAGGTTCTAACATAGTACATTGCACTTTATACACCATACAATCACGGTATAGCATAAGATGCAGTGTAGATTGGCATGGTATAGTAGATAAAGCGTGGTATAGTATTCAATGTAATATGCGATATTCCAATATAGTCCGGTAGAGTACTACACATATGAAGATGCTGAGACATGCTGTGATGGAAGGTACTGTAGTATAGCAACATCTTCCGTTATGTAGTCTATTACACTATATGTACGTGTATTTGCCTTTTATAATGTTCTCTGATTTAGCACAGTGTCGTATCATATGGGGTAATCGAATGGAATATGGTATAACATCGTACAGTTGAGTATATCATGACTTAGGGTGTATAACATGGTATAACATCATACAGCGCTGTGTAGAATTTGTTGTAGTTCATTCCTTTCAATAGCACATTAATATAATTTAACATATACTAAAATGTAATACGCTATACAATCCACGAGAAGACCACATATCTAATAAGACACACGTGTACACAATATAGCATGATGTAATATGACATGTTGTAATTTAATGAGAATAGAATAGAGATGCCATGTCAAACGATCTGCTATAGCTATGTTATTCCTTGTATATTTTACCGGACACTACAGTATAACGTTGTGCCATCAAGGGATAAAGCATGTTTCAGTAGACTACAATATCGGTAGAGTAGAGCAAGGTAAGGCACCGTAGAGTAGAGTATAGTGTGAAAATTATCTGTACATGTACGGGTTTATGTCTATGTATATGCATGTGCCTTAGTACAGACACACGTATGCATACTCTTGTCGTATTGCATGTATATGTAGAGCGGGAGTTGTATTCCTTCCGCTTCGACTGCCGAGATCATTCTGCGATACTGAGCATGAGCACCATGCCGACTCTGCCCTGTCACGGAGGCGCTGCTTATGGCTGTTTTCGCTGCTCACGCGAGAATTTCGTCAGCGAAGAGCGAAGAAAGCGGTTGAGGGTTTGGGGTTTGCCCTAAAGCCTTCAAGCCCTGAATCCTAATCAGGTTTCAAGACATTTCGTCAGGTGCATTGGGTGTGCTGTCGATTGGCTCGGACGTCAACTGCCACCCCATACATTGCTTACATGTGGACAGTTGCTGATGTCAGTGCACTGCCGATGTGCGCATGCGTATTAAGCAGCACGGCTTCACGTTTGACAGATGCTCCGTGGCTGTGCAGTAAAAGGTGCATTGGCCCCGATCTTTTTGTAGAAGAAACATGAGCCTGCAACGCCGTGTGGATAGAGTCGGTTAGAGTGTCCACAAGGACTGCCCAGCTAAACTTCTGCAGCCCCGGAAAAGGACTCACGATTAGCCGTCCAACAAACCCCGAAGCGTTCAGACAAACGCAGCAGTGCTCTGCAGTCAAGAGCGCTTGAGCCATGTTCGTTCTGTGGGCCAAAGATGGACCGCCCGGAAGTGGCAGCTCCAAGCCCGCGACGAGCAGGCTTGGAAGGAGGATTTCTGACTTCTCACTCTAAGGCTCCATTGTTGGGACATGCTTCGCGTCAATCTTGTTTTTGAATGTCGGTTGCCGCGTCAGAACCTTTGATGCGCCTGGTGTTGGCTGCTCAAAAAGAGCCAGGCAATAGGCAATGGTGCAGTGCTCCTGCTGCATTGCGCCTCAGGTCGGCTTCCTCTGGACCGAATTCAGGAGATCAGGCTGCTGGGTCGACATCGTCAATGGCAGGCGCGGCTATGACTCGAGTGCCGCAGCAAGCCGGTAAGGCAGATCAGCTGCAAATCACCTCTGAGACTCAGAATTGTTTGGTCTTCGGAGTCCTTGCTGCCCTGACAGGAGGTGTTGCGATTGCTGCGAGACACAAAGGGGCCAGCGCTTGGGCCCAAAGCCTGCACCTCAAAACGGCTGTAGGCTCTGACAGACTCTGGCAGTGAGCCGCTGCACTCGTGACAGCTCGCGGCTCCTTGTGCTTGGAGATTCTCGGATCTTACGCCGTATCCGATGCGGTCCCGCATTGATCGTGTGAACGATGTGCAACAGTCTGAGCTCCCTGGAATCTCGACAGGTTCTCAGCGCCGCCATCTCCGCCCTTCGCTTGGCCTCGCAATGGCTGAGTGCCCTCACACTCCTCCACGAAGCTTGGAGGTGTGAATTGTGGGACGCGCGCTTTTGGGAACAGCAACAGTTGCGTTGCTTCCGGCTGGGGCTTCAGGGCCGCTCGTTGTCTCCCATCACAACATCATAGTCATCGTCAACATATCACCCTTCCTTGTTAAGTGAAGATGGTGGGGGGACCTAGGTGGGGTTCTGCACTTATGGCTTCTGCACTTATGGTTCGTGGGCCCAGGGGCGAAGCAATAAGTGAAGATGGGTTTCTGGAGACGTATGTTTTCGGTCGTTGGAATCTGTGCTCGGATGTTGGCGGGGCTATCGAAATCTCGGCCAAAAATCGGTTTAGACCCAGCAGTGCTCTAGACGCATAACTTCCATCCCGAGGCATATGTTGACATGTCAACATAGTAAGTCTTCCCCGCATGTTGTGGAGCCTCCAAAGTGCCAGCGCCTCAAAAGCAACGGATTCTGGATGGTGTGAAGATGACGCCTGCTCTTTACCACGTGCCAGGCGGCGCGAGAGTCTCGACGTCGTGGTCGTCTCGTCTGCCCTTTCCGCAGCCGAACGCGGCGGAGCCTGGCAGGCCTGCGGCGAGCCACCAGAGGTCATGTTGATGCACATTTATCAGAAATACATGTGTAGACATTCGAATTCACGTACATAAAACATATGTATGTATGTATGTAAGTATGTATGCATGTATCATCCATGCAGGCAGGCAGACAGACAAACAGACAGACAGACAGACAACGCACACAGACAGACAGAGTTCTATAAAAGTACGATGTGCTTCCATCGGCTGCAGTGCATGTTGTGGCACAGCTCACAAACCACAGTAGAGAATCTGCCTGCGCCGGCCGATCATAGAGCTGGTATGCCACCTAACGCAGGAACCTAATTAAGAAAACCTGGGCCTATAACCCCGATATAGTATGATATAGTAGGGTTCATATAAGGAACCCTAATAAAGGCCCAAGGTTTCTTAATCGGGTTCCTACATTATGCCACCTAGCTGCCATTGGACCTCCTTTGGATGAAGGGCTTGCGGGCTGACTGTGGGAATGGAGGTGGCGCTTTCCCTGCTGGAGACTATGGAGGACTGGAGTATACGTGCGACACCCGGCAAATTTGTCCATGCCAGCGTCTTCAGGAATTAAACAGTTTGGATGTTGCTGCGCAGAAAGACTCAGAAGAATAGTGGAACCCGACATCACCGAAAGCATGCCCCAATGTGGCCTACACGAAACTGAGGCCCTGATGTCATCGTCTGCAATGCAGCCATGACTGCCTGCGGCGCAAGCAGCTGGAATTTGGTGCCACGGCATACTGGTCTCTGGTTTCCGTAGAGCAAATCTAGATGGCTTGCGTCCCAGCCCTTACACTCGACGACAGGCTTTTGACCGGAAGAAGCTGTTGCAACCTGGTTCTGGTTGGTCTAGGGCCTAAGGGCTCAGGTACTACAGCTTCTCGACTCATTCCCATCGAGGAGGCTGACACCTGATGTGTCTTGGTCGCGACAGGGCTCATCCGCTTTCTAGTTATTCTAATTTAACACTACTTTGGAAAGCAAGTCGGTTCAAAGGTCCTCAAAAATGAGCCTCTAAAGGCTGAAAGGAACCCTTACAGGAACCCTTCAAGGAACCCTTGAAGGAGCCCTCAAAGGAGCCCCCAAGGCAGCCCTGAAAGGAGCCCTCAAAGGAACCCCTTAAAGGAGCCTTTACAGGAACACTTAAAGGAGCCTTTATAGGAGCCCGAGCCCTTAAGCGCTTCGAACCAGGACCCTCCTTGTACCCTCAAATAGGGGTATATGGTCCCAAACAAGGGGCACTTAGGCTCTAATACAGTAGAAGCCAGAAAGTTGGAATATCATTATCGTAACCCCTTTAAGGTAAATTATAGGGGATCCTACCATTAATCCATATCCCGACTTTCTGGAGTTCTCTTTAGAGGGTTTAGGAAACCAGAGGTCATCTCTTTCTCGGCGGCTGCCACCGCCTGCCGCTCGCAGTGGCAGGAGGCCCAGCCGCTGACACCGAAAACGCAGTAGAATAGAATAGAGATGTGAATAGAGCAGAGTCTTATATGTTATGATGTCACATGATATGTTATGGTTTTCATAGAGTAAAACTGAGTATGATAAGTTATGATATAGAACAGAATAGAGTATTATATAACTCAATCCGAAGCTAAAGCCAAAGCTTGTTCAATCGCCCTTCCTGGGGTTCACACAGGGTCACAAGGGCCATCAAGGGTTTGCGGGGATTGCGTCCGGTTTCAGGATTTAGGGAGATTTTACATTGTCTGTGCTTATCATGTTCTGGGTAACAGGAGCGAGCTCGAAAATACGTCTACACGCAACACTGTGGATGTGTTGCTTCACTCAGGACTTCACGACTTCACGAAGCGAACGTGTATGGAGATGAGGATGTGTGTGTGTGTGTGTATACTATGTACATATGCGAACATTCGTGTAGAAGGACGTGTATGCATACGTACACAAGCTCAAAAAACAATTTCTGAACCCAGGACCCCGAAAGCCCTACACTAAACCCGAGACCTCTACATTCCACAACAAGTCTTGAATCCTCAACACTCAACCCAGACCCCAAAAACACCCTAAGACACCTCAAACCCGGCCACACCCTTTCGGTCACCTTGTCCTTCATTTTGGGATCCTAGGTCGCGTGCTGCATTGACGCAGTAGTTATGTCAGGGTCAGAGCGAATACAATGTGACAGGGAAACTAATCGACGTGTAAGCTGAGTTTTTGAGCCTTGTCAAGATTGGGTCTGTCAAAGCCCCAAGCCGAACCTGAATCTATGAAGTTCAGCGCCTTCGCTTATCACTGCATTGTCCCCCGCCAGCCCTGGTCATAGACCCCATGGACAACTTAGAATTCTGGGGCTTGTGTGTAGTTTGGCATTGAGGGTTCTGATCCTCTGATATAGTGGCCATAATAATTACCAATACTATTGTCGGGGTTCCTTATGACATTTATAGTATCATGGGCCCCCAAACCCTATTCTAATTATTAAGGCCCCTATATACTATAGTACCCTTATAGATCCCCTAAAGATGCCTTTAAGGGAAGCCTATTCTAATTCTTACGGCCCCTATATTACCTGTTCGAGGCGCTGAGTTGCCTACATCGTGCACTGGAGCAGTCCCTGGCGGGATGCTCAGGATGGCTCCCAGACTTTGGGAAACGGCCTATACAGCTCTGAAGCCAAGTGCATAAAATGCCTCATGTCCAAGCCCCGTGCATGGCCTACAGCACTTCCAGATTGGACTGATCTGCCAGTGCTGTCGTTCCTTGAACTGCTGTCTGATAACTGCTAAGTTGCTATTATGGTTGTTGCCAATCGGCACATTGCTACTACTGTTACTACGTTTAGTGTAAGCGTTGTTAGCATTGTTGTTACTACTGTTGTTGTCTAAAGATGATGACTTCGAAGCCTCAACTCGAAACGCTAATCCTAACCACCCTGAACCCCAGAATCCACCTTAAATCCACCGTAAACCCCAGAATCCTGGAAATCCTAGAAGCCCTAAACTACGAGTTCTTAGTCTCTTACGGTTGATGATATAAATCCTGCATGACCCAGAATAAGGAATATACCATTATTCCCATAGTTTAGGGTCATTATTAAGGTAATGCAGGATTTATATCATCAACCGTAGTTCCGACCGTCCTTTGGCCTCCGACCGAGGCCCCGGATGCGGCTCTTTGGAGCGCCGTGGTCTCGGCGTGCGGTGATGCCGGCGAGTGGCAGAGGCAAGAAGGTCCTAGGCTTTAGTAGGGATACTACAGTGTTTTCCGGCGGTTTCAGGGTGTTTGTGATTCTAGGTTTTCGAGGGTCTTAGGTTTCGAAGCATTTTGGGATCTTAAGGTCAGGGAGCCGCTGAACGAGCGTTGTGGTGTTCACCGTGATGAGACGGATGGTGTCCCCGTCACCACCGTCGGCATCATCTTCATTGTCATCATCTCCAATCTTGCCCCCCCCCCCACTCCCCCAAAAGACCAAGCTTTTAACACTAGGGCACTATGGATGAACGGTTGATAATGCTGGACTCTGCTTCTTCCTTCGGCAGCGAGGTCCAGAGTCCAGAGCCTCCCTCCCAAACTTGCTTGCCCAAGTCTCGAATCATACCATCGGCAGTCACGGCTTCTTGTTCAGAAGATCGAAGTTCAGTATGCTATCAAACCTCGGCATGACGCTCGGCATCGTGGTTCGGCTCGGCAGCTCATCCGTGTCTGAGAAGGCTGAAACACATGTAAGTGTCGCAGCATGTTACTGAGACGCAGGATCAACAAGGACACGGTGCGCTTTGGTGGCAGTTCCGGGGCACTTCTCGGGCTCGAAATGTTCTTCGGTACTGTACTGCCGAGTCGTCCGCAACGAACGGCCAACCGGTTTGCCACTATACTATACGATAGCGGAGGACACGTGGAGCATGGATATGCTCAGGCCAGGAGGACGCAGCCACTGTCAAAGAGTCCGTCGCCTGCGACATTCTTCTCGATAGCGGCTAGGTGCCTTGATGGCCACGGTGGCGACCTGGCGGCTGTTGCCCAAACAGTCTCATGCCACGAGAACTGGAGGCCAATGTGGCACCGTCAGGTACATCATCCGGCACGGTCGTGTGCGGGGCTCTTCTCCTGCTGTTAAATCTTGGGGGACTGCCGCGGAGTGGTTTGCGAATCAGCGAATTTGCCGAACGGTCGGCAAACTCGAATTACAGTCTCAGGAAGGTGCTGGCTAGAACGCCGTCTCAGGAAGCCGCGGCGAAAGAAGTCCCAGCAGCAAGGCCAAGAGGGCGGACAATGCGGCAGTGATACCCGATTTCCCACAAAGGCTCTATGTTAGGCCGCCTCGGTTGCAACCATGAGCAATAATCCTCGGTGTACTCCCAACTGAAAGCCCTTACAGAATCTCTGTAGCACTTCCTTCATTGCAACAGTATCGATAGCACTAGTAAAGGAAAAGACTTTCCCTGGTACGGTATAGTATTATAGCAGATTGAGCCGTCTCCACCTGTCTCCATGCAGGGCTTTGCTGATCTTCAAGACTGCGCGGCACGTGGATGCGGGGGATCCTGGTCTCTATGCGGCTGCAATAGGTGCCTGTCAGGCAGGGGGGGCCGTCAGGGTGTCGCGGCATGACTGGTTCTAGAATAGAAGGGCCCAGAGAGCCCAATACCCCTTAATTAAGGAGTGTACCTCAATTTATAGAGGCCGTAATATTCTGATTTAAGGTATATTCCTTAATTCAGGGGTATTGGGATCTCTGGGATACCCGGGTTGCTGCTAGGGACTGTTTGGCTCCCCGACAGATCGGAGCTC